GGGCGGGCGTGAGGTATTAGGGGGACATTGGGGTAACTGCACAAAGAACTAATTGAGTTGTATACTAACGGCAGAGTAGTCATTGCTTTACGTAGAACAGCACTACTATCAGTTTCACTGTTCTTCCTTCAAAGTAGATTAGATTTTTTTCGAGTTGTCTGTTTTAGCCAATTGTTAGCTGGTTTTGCAGAGCACTGATTATTTCTGTAACTTGTTATCAGCGACCCCACAAAGCTACTGCTGAGGAAATGACCAAGTACCATAGTGATGAATACATCAAATTTCTCCGATCAATAAGGCCTGACAATATGTCTGAGTACAGCAAGCAAATGCAGAGATGTAAGTGTTAACATTAGGATAAATCTATGTGTATGTGCTTCAATGGTTAGCATTGTTTAAAGCTAAATATTCACCAATACAGAGGTATGAACATGGCTTAATGGTGCGGGTGGGTTAGAGAAATAAGGTAATAAGAGTAACATGTGCCTGCCTTTAGTTACACTCACTACTTGTGGGACTTTTCTGTTAAAAGCAGCCATCTTGGCAACAATGTTCTTTAAGCTTATGGCAGGATTTTTTGCCTCTCCTTTCACAGGGTGCATTCTACATGTGAAATAATACTTTCTGTAGGCTTAATGCACAGATTAAACTTTAGTTGCATGTTACTTGCAAAAGTGTCTTAAAAATCTGTTCTCATGCGAAACTCTTCTGAAAAAGAATGGCTTTTAGAAGAGTAGAGAAGTAAAAATCAATGTGTGAAAATGTGTTTAAGTCAAGAAAAGAAGTTACTCATTCCTGTTAGGAGGAGATGATAAAAATTGTACATTGCTCACCCTTTCTGTTAATTTATTTCTTTAATTATAGGAATAGGCTCAAAGTACTGTTAGGAATGCAATTTGACAGCTATTATATCAATTTAAAAGGCAGTATTGTAGCCTTTTTATGATGCCTTATTCTCAGCAAATTTTTTCTAAGTAATTGTGCATTTCTTAACATGATCTATGTTAATCAGCACTTCTTCAAAAATCTAAAGTGATCTAACTTCTTGTTAATGAGGAGATAAAGCTTCCCGTGGAAACTAAAAAGAAAAAAAAAACCAACAACCAAAACCAAAGATAGTTTGGAGTTGTCTTAGATTACAAAGAGTTTACATTGTTTTCATTGTTTAAAATTTGACCTGACAAAGATGAGGTGGGCAGGGAGTAGTTAAAATGCTGAATGAACTATGTATTGCATCTGTAAGTGTTATCCATGCATATAGCAATGCTGTCGGAATGGTGTTTTTGAAAAGCAATATGTTTCTTACACAGTTAATGTTGGAGAAGACTGTCCTGTATTTGATGGCCTGTTTGAGTTTTGTCAGCTGTCAACTGGAGGCTCTGTTGGTAAGTATTGGTTGTTTGCCAGCAATTTTGTTTCTTTATTATGTCTGTCGGCAACTTAAAACTTCCATAGTATATTTAAAACTGAAGCAAATACAGCTTTTTTTTAAATAAATAATAATTGTGTATCAGTTACTTGATATATCTCTCATTTGACAGTCTTATCTTAGTATTGGTAAGCGATCCTCTCTAGGATCAACTTATTTAAAAAAATAAGATACTATTTCATGTAACAGATTTAAAGGCCTTCAGAAGTTTCTGACTGCATTTTCTTTCATTTTTGTGTATGCATTTTTACAGCTGGGGCGGTAAAATTGAACAGACAACAGACAGACATGGCTGTTAATTGGGCTGGAGGACTTCACCATGCCAAGAAATCAGAGGCGTCTGGTTTCTGTTATGTCAATGATATCGTGCTTGCCATCCTTGAGTTACTGAAGTAAGTTTATGATGGGAACAAGATAAAATTATAGAAAGTGTCAAATTCAAGTATTTAAATGTTTGAAGATATGAATTGTAATTATTATTTCAGTGAGTTTTCATAGCCCATGTTGAACTCATACAGTTCCTATTAAGAAAACTCCAAGCTCTGCCTGGTTAGGCTTGAGCAAGAAGTTTAAGCTAAAATACAGGCAAGCTGAAAAGGAGGTAGGCTTAAAACAGGTATTTAGAAGTACCTCTTTACACAGAGGATAGTGAGCTTTTGGAACTTGCTGCTACAGGAGGCTGAAGGAAGCAGGCAGCAACAACAGATTCAAAAAAGAGATTAGATGTAATCGTGGACAAGAGGGTCTGTAAATGGATGTAAAAAATCCAAGCAATGATACACCTTTAAAATGCCATATGCTGTAATTCTAGATGATGGGGAAGTACTAGAGTAGCGGATTTCAGAAGCTTTCTGTAAATGTTAATCTCCTGTTGCTACTCATGGGAACAGAATAGTGGACTAGATGGATCACTGCCCTGACTCCTTAGGGCAGTCACTATGCTCACAATCATACACGTATTTGGTTTCTCAATATGCCTGCTTGTTTCCTATCATTTGAGTTGTTACTAAACCAAATGGGAATATTGAGGGAAGATCATGCACCGAGCTTCCTTGGATTGTTACCTGAATTAATGTGGCTGTTATGAATAAATAATGAAATAACAGCTGTGCTGCTGTGACTGCAAAATAAAAAATGAGGGGAGTAATGAAAAAGTGATCATATAATTAACTTCAAGCAGTAATGCTTCACTAAAATTTCAAATCCTGAGTGTTACTTGTACTGCTTCAGGGGACTGTATCCCTTCTAATAACACATAAATCTCATATTTTACAAAGAATGTTCTAGGTGTTTGCCTGTTGTGAATGGAGCAGCTGAGTCTGCTGGTGAGGAGTGGGGGAAGCAGCTGTAATCTGGAAGTGTTTTTTAAATACAGAAGAAGTTTTGAAATACACTAACAAATAGTTAATATTAACATATTAAGATATTAATTTTAATGTACAGCATGTATTCAGGCTCTGTCTTTGCAGTCTAAGAAAAGCAATATGATTTTTCTGATGTCCAGTCTTGAATTTCTTAGCTTAATGTGCATGTGAAGGAAGGAAACTTTCAAATAGCTATGGGTTATGTAACTGTAGGAAACTGTCCTGTTCAGTGTCTTGTTAAGCGAAAAACCTTAGCCCACCTGAAATTATGGCTGCTCAGACTGACATTCTACGGCACTAAGCGAAGCACAATGAAAATGCATCTTCTGATGTTGATAGACTTGTTCTTTACTGAACAACGTACTGTTGTTTTCAATGCTCTGAGGCTTCAAACAACTGGTATCTTCATCCATCTCAAACTCATCTGAAACTTGCAGTATTTAAGGAAATACTAAGTAGTCATGTAATAATTTCATGCTAATAGTATGATGCACTTGGAAATAAGAATGTACGCATCTTTACAAGTTGCAGAGGTGAAGAAGAAAAGTCAATGGAAAATAAGTATTTAAATTTCTTTTTTGCGTGCTTATGGAACATGGGTTATTCCTGCTCCTGGCACTATGCTATTTGAAGCATGTGCTAAGAGATGTTTCAGTGCGGACTGTGTTGGTAATTACTGAGAAGGCAGAAAGAAATGCCCTGTGAAAGGGGCAAATTCAGCACGTGTTAACAACAGAAAGTGGTGTGAACACAAACACAAGGTATAGCTTCTATGGAGTGAGACAACTTGGGGTAAATACTAAATACATTACATATTTACTTATTCTTTACTTATTAAGATAAACTTATTTTCATTTTTATCCAAACTATACTGAGAATTCTAAGAGTATATGGTCACTTGAACCAAAATCATAAAAATGATCATAATCTTGGATTTTAGTGTTTGGGTTGTTTTTTTTTTTCATTATGTTTTTCCTTGTTAGGTATCCATATATTATGAACATAACAGATAATGATGATTTCTTATACATGATTTTCTTTCTAGGTATCACCAAAGAGTGTTGTATATTGATATTGATATCCATCATGGTGATGGTGTTGAAGAAGCATTTTATACCACAGATCGTGTCATGACAGTATCATTCCATAAGTATGGTGAATATTTTCCGGGCACAGGGGACCTTAGGGTAAGGTTGAACATGAATTTCATTAGGTGATAAATTCCCTCTTAATATCTTCCTTGTAGATACTGGTTTAGCACTAGGTTACAATAACTATGTCCAGTAATAATATACAGCGGTAAGTTTTCAGAAAATATACTAGAGTGATAGATTTGTTGAAGAACCTTAGAAAATAAAATACGGGATAGTGGGGAAGTAAATTATTCACTTCTACAGGAAATCAACACCTTCACTTATTGATAAATTGTCTGAATTTTTAGCTCAAATGTATAATTAGTTTTGTTCAGTTAGATTTTGGAAATGTCTCTAGGAAAACAATGTGGTGTATTTATAATGATTATCTGTACGTTTCAGTTCTGCACATACAGTGAAAAGTAGTTGTTTGCAGATCACATGGCTTCAAAACTTATTTCAAATCTTAGAATAACTTTATACCAGAGCTTTAATAGTCACAAAGCTTCAGTTGCAACTTGAATTTACTGTATTCTATTTGCCTGGTAATACGTTTGGCTCGGTTTTGGAATATTTCTTAAGTCATAAAGTGTGTTTTGAGTTCTCATGGTGATCACAGCTGAAGAATTTTAGTGTGCCCCACAGACAATTGTGTACTAACCCTTATAGCTAGCTTGAGGGGAGGGAGCCTTGGCCTGTGAAGAATTATCATTTAAGCTGTTGTAGAATCTCTGGCAAAGCTGAGAATGGAAACCAATTTTCCTGGCCCTTCATATAAGTATGTTAGTCATTCCTCATGTTAGACTCTTGTCCATTAGAACAGGAAATTGTTCCACTTCACAACTTGAAAGAATATTTCAAGTATTAGGATTAATATATTCCTAGCTTCAAACTCTTACATTAAACCTTTTTTTTGATCAGAGGCACTCCCAGGATAAGTCACTCTTCTGGTACTAGCAACTTTATGTACATTAGTTTGTACGTACAGTTAGTAATTTTTTTAAAAATTGTAAACGTTTCTAAAAAGTTGACCTACAAAAATGCTGTGTTGGGAAAGAATTCACTGTTTTCCCTACTATCTTTAAATTGATTCAAGAGATCAAGATATTTGTGTTTCTGCTAATATTCCTGGAACGTGTGCTCCCCAGTGTGCTGATGATACCCAGAGGACACAAGAGTAAATGAAAGTTGAGCTTTAAATCAGTGGGGTGCTAAGCATTCATTTCAGTGTGGTTGTTGGAGCTGAATGTTATTATGGTTGCTAGATTTTGTTAAACTGCATTCTAAATTGATTTAGGTGGAAATCAGATTAGGCGTTGTTTTTATCCATGTGGTTTAACTTGACTGGCCACAAGGTGGTAGTGGTGCTTCAAACAAAAAGCAGCTCAGACCAGGATGTTTATAAAGACAAGCTGTTATTCCTGATTTGGCTAGAATTTTTTTTTGAGGGGTTAGATATCTTGACTTTTTAAAAACAGCAGCACTTCCTGTCAACTGAGAAGTTTATGGATTCTTCACCTTGCCACACCCAGGACAAAGAATTTAAAGATACACGGTTGAAATAAATAGAAGAATATCGTATGTTATTGGGATTTTTTAAAACAGTGTCAGTGACAAACAGCACCTCAGGCATGGTAACTTTTATTCTGTGCTGCTAGCTAGTATTTTGAAATGAGCATTGTTCACATACAGACTTCAGCAGGCTTTATTGCAATTATTACATTCCCATAGGAAAAAAAAAGTTAGCTTTTTCCTATTTCCAGAGCTTGCAAACCAAATTTAACTAAAGGGAGAACAAATTCTCTGAAAAGTCGGTGTTCCTTCTGGAGACCAGTATTGTGCTGCTTGCTTTTGCTCAACTTGATCTGCCATTGCTGGTTATTTACATCAACTTTAACAGCCAAATCTTATCCTTGTTTTTATCAGTGGGCTCCATTCAAGCTTGTTTCTGTAATTCTTTGGTTATTTGGTCTAGTTTACTGATCAGGTCACGCTTATTTGATGCAGGAACAAATTGTGCATCAGCTGGTGATTTTGTGATTGCAGCTCCATCAACGTAGCTGAATCTCACAGATTGTCTAGTTCAGCTGTATTCATCCCTTTTCTACTGAAGGTATTGTGCAGTCTGAACTTCCAGGGTCCTTAGTAAGTTATTTGACTTTCTACACATCTTAGATGATAGCACTAATCTTGACTTCTATATACATAGATAGGCCAGTTGAGACTGTAGTGCTACATAGAGGCATAGGTTCTGTGAGGAAATTTGATCTGTTGACAAATGGGCAACTTACAAGAATGCTATATTGTTTCTTTAGTGTTTATAACCAATGCAATTTTCAGTTACAAAAAAACATCCATTGAGCAGCTCAGGTTGGTAAGCAATTATCCTGTTTAGTGGGAAATTGTGTAAACGTTTGGCTTAGCTATGTTTTAGGATGAGGTAGATTTAATGCTTGCTTTTTTTTTTTTTAAATCTGTAAAGGGAGGCATTATCACCTCAGAAAAATCAGCATCTGAAAGCCCAGGTGATTCACTTTGAGAGATTCTGGATAACTCTCATGCTCCAAATCAGCCAGAGTTGAGTTCAGCAAGGGTCTTAAGTATCACTAATCTTGCAATACTATGAAATGTTAATAATGTATTGGAAGAAGGGGAAACAAGTCAGCTGTTAATGTTGCATCTATGCTGCATTGGCAATTTGTCCCCATGTTGGTGTCCTGTCCCATCTCCCCCTTTCCACCCCAAAAGATAGTTGCTGGAAGTGATGCATCACTGTTGTATTTACTGCTACAGAGGTTTTGTTTAGGAAGAGGAAAAAGTCAATGAATGTTTCAAAAGCTAGGGTGAGAAGTTTAGTATTTGTATTGCTGGGCCACTCAACTGGTGGCTTGTAGTTTTTCAAGGTTGGACCTGAAGTGTGCTCTTTCTGCAGAGCTGCTGTTTGATAATAGTTTACAGCCAAACTGAACAGGTTAAATCTTACTGCCTTTGCGACTGCACCTTTATTAGTGGCAGAGAACTAACTGCTCTTTAGACTGGATCGGTTTCTGTCTGTCTTGGTGATGAGCTACAGGGAAGAAATGGGAATGTGTGGCAAGCAGGGATTTTAAACTGATCATCAAAACAGAAATGGATGGATTCATGGTTTATTCACTGGATTTTTTTGCAAAGAGTTTTGTCTTTTAATACATATGTTGTCCAGGAAGACTGCTAAGATAGACTGCTCTGGTTCTTGCCTTGTCACCTGATGGAGCTGAGAATAATCTACAAGGGTTTTTTTAGGGTTTTTTTGGTTTTGTTTTGTTTGAAAAGTGTCAATTTCTTCAAGGGCACCTATAAGTGGCTTCTGTTTCATTTTTTTCTCTCCCTTCTGCTGCAGCTAGTTCTTCATCATATGTTTGGCGCCGAGAATACAGTTTTAAAAACTGTCCTAAATCCAAATCTTCTGTACAGTACTGAAAAAACGCATATCACATTGCTCTTCTCAATTTTCTTGCTTATTTTTGCTTAACTACTTTTACCAGGCTAAACTGATCAGTTATGTTTTGTCTTTGTCTTAAATCTTTGAATAAAAAAATCAAGTGTATTTACTGCAAAATTAAAATTCCTACACTCCAAAATGATTTTAAGGGAGAATGGGAATCAAGTAAGGTACTTTGCCTTTTTATCCCTCACAGACATGAATAATGGTACAAAATAGCTCAGCAGACTTGTGTACACTTTTCCATGATACCATCACATGCTTCCATATTTGTAATAAAGCATTTATTATCTTTGCTTATAGGACATTGGTGCTGGAAAAGGCAAATACTATGCTGTCAACTTTCCAATGAGGGATGGTATAGATGATGAATCATATGGACAGATATTCAAACCAGTGAGTTTGGTTGTTCTTTTTTTTAAGCTCTCTAGAAAGATGCTAGTTTCGTTTTTTGGATTTATTTTCATAATGTGAATTAACGGCTTGCTGTTTTATATTGATTATAGATTATATCCAAAGTAATGGAGATGTACCAGCCCAGTGCTGTGGTATTACAGTGTGGAGCAGATTCACTTTCTGGTGACAGGCTGGGATGCTTTAATCTTACCGTTAAAGGTAAGCAGAAAAGTGTTTGCGTTTGTTGTCTGTAACTTTTTATTTAATAGAAACCTCTATCCTTCATACTATTTTTCAAGACACTTGCATGATGAGGACTGGAGTCACAAAGATTTTGTTCATTACTATGATTAATCACCTTTTTCTGTGCTGTACAGGGATGACCAAAAGAAAGCCAGAAGTTGCCTCTTTCTTTCTGTCCATCTAAAAAAGTTAAGAAGCTTGGTTTTCCATGTTCTTCCTAGCCACTCAAGTGATTCCCTTTCTTCTATGTCCATGCTTTCTGTAGCTTTAAAGCAACATTCTGGAATGACAGGGTGACAACAATCACCCTGCTGCAACACTATGATGGGCAAATCACAAAACTAGTGGTTCACTTGGTAGGACTACAGAAATTAAACATCAAACACGTTGTTGGGCATAAATAGGTATTACTGAAATGAGAATACTCACTGCATTGTTAAATTCATAGTGGTGTTTGTTATACTGAGCCTTACGTTAATGTTCATTTTTATTAACTTTTATAGAATTAATTTATTTTAGTATTACTTACATTTCTACCCAAAAAATTGAGATGAAATGTTAATTTAGCAAACATTGTTATTAAGTGATAAAATGTTAAAAGTATGTTGAACTTCTGCTAAGCCTTGATTCCAGCCTGTTTGAATCATTCATTTCCTGGGTCGTCTTGGTTTTGTGTTTTCTTAATGAGGCAATTAGAGTTTTATAGGCAACAAAATGCAGTATAGTATCTGTCGGGTCTGCAGTGTTTCAGGGTTCCTTTTCTTGATTTGCACCAGGTGGCAAAGCTACTTCAGTTGCCCATACAGCTCAGATTTTTTTCCATCTTGCATATCTTGGAAACCAAGAGAGCTGCTGCCTCCTGCAGATGCCTTTCAGTATGCTGTGTATCCCTGGAGTGTGTACTGTCTTGGCACCAGTTCACTCTGTAAGCAAGACTTAGCAACCTCTAATACAGGTTCAAATTTAGAAGTAGAAAGGACCGAGTATTGACTTGCTGTTTTCCCTTCTTCCCCCTTTGCATTGGACTGAGAAATTGTCCCTAGGTATGTGTTGATATCAGTTATGAAAAGACAAAACACTAAACATTCTAAGAGCATTTCAGAACAGCAGCGATAGACCATCATGCAAAGTCTCTGAAGACTGGGGTGGATAATGTTTGATGTATTTTGTACATGTCTTATCTGTAGGTCTTTGATTTCTTGTGAGGTTATGCTTGGCTTTTGGGGGACACAGTTCTGTTTTACTTGAATCAATTCAGTTATCACTTGATAAGTGTGACTGCATATGTCTGATTAAATAGTTCATTATATATTTTTCTGTTTAATAGATACTTTGCATATATTGTCAACTCTGTTTCACAGGTCATGCTAAATGCGTGGAAGTTGTAAAGACTTTTAACTTGCCATTGCTGATGTTAGGAGGAGGAGGATATACTATTCGTAATGTTGCTCGATGCTGGACGTATGAAACTGCTGTTGCCTTAGATTGTGAAATTCCTAATGGTAAATATTAATACCCAAATTAATATTGTATTAAGAAATAATCATGGGAGGGTTTAAGTGAACAGATAGCAAATATTTCTATAGCTAACTGCAATACATCAGTTTAGAATAAACTATGCAGAAAGTTAGTTAGGATTTAGTCAGTAAATTTTCAGTAGCTTATGCACTAAATAGACTTGAGCATTTGAGGCTTTTTGTGTGCTTTAGCAAAAGCTTTAAATGTTTAGAAATCACTTTTGGAAAATTTAAAACATGTAAAGTTACCTTACTTGTAACTATTGTTAATATGAACATCATCAGTATGATTGGAGAAGAGTGGCTGAAAAGCTGCGTGGCGTAAAAATGCCTGGATGTGTTGATTGACAGCTGGCTGAATATGAGCTGGCAGTGTGCCCAGGTGGCCAAGAAGGCCAACAGCATCCTGGCTTGTGTCAGCAATAGTGTGGCCAGCAGGACTAGGGAAGTGATCGTCCCCCTGTACTTGGCACTGGTGAGGCTGCATCTCGAGTACTGTGTTCAGTTTTGGGCCCCTCACTACACGAAGGACATGGAGGTGCTGGAGCGTGTCCAGAGAAGGGCAATGAGCTGGTGAAGGGTCTGGAGCACAAGTCCTGTGAGGAGCAGCTGAGGGAACTGGGGTTGTATAGTCTGGAGAAAAGGAGGCTGAGGGGAGACCTTATTGGTCTCTACAACTACCTGAGAGGAGGTTGTAGCCACGTGGGTGTTGGTCTCTTCTCCCAAGTAACAAGTGATAGGACAAGAGGAAATGGCCTCAAGTTACGCCCGGGGAGGTTTAAATTCAGTATTAGGAACAATTTCTTCACCGAAAGTGTTACCAAGCACAGGAACAGGCTGCCCAGGGAAGTGGTTGAGTCACCATCCCTGGAGGTATTTAAAAGACATGTAGATGTGGTGCTTAGGGACATGGCTTAGTGGTGGGTTTGGCAGTGCTAGGTTAGCGGTTGGACTTGATCTTAAAGGTTGGACTCTTTTCCAACCTAAATGATTCTGTGATAGAAGATATACTGTATTTTGATTGTGACAGTGCAGACTTGTGTAAGTTGGGTACCATGGACATGGTAGTCATAAGAAATTGAGTATGCAAGCATCCATTTTACATAGTAAAACATAACTGTTTCTTCATTGTATCCTTGATTTAAATGTAACTCTGAAAGTATATTGACTTCCACTCTTCCATTTGACTTAGTTTTGGTTATACAAGCTGTCTTAAAAAAAATTAAAAATAGTAAAAAACCCCCAATAGTGTACTTCAAATAGTTGAACAGTGAAGTAATTTCTCTGAGGAAGATCCCCAAAGATCCTGCACTCCCTTTATTTCTGACCAAATATGCTTCTGGACATGAATTTGGAATGCCTTTTTTAAAAAATTGGTATTTGGACTGGTTTGTTGCTCCTCAGTCATTGGCAATTTTCATGTTGGACTGCAACTTTTGCTGATAACCTTTTGCTGTTCATGTATCTCTTGCTGGATTTATATTGTTTCTGTCTGACTTCAGTGGAATGCTGCTGTCAGTGAGAAAGGAATATTTGGACAGTACTTTTCAAGATGTACATTTTCCATCTTGCACATCAATATATATTCTTTGCCAGCCAAAGCTTTTGAAGAGACAGTAGTATTTCCTAATCTTGGGACTTTTTTCCATTAGCATGTCCCATTCAATGGATATATATGAAGTTGTTTCAATTATTTTTTTTTTAACATTCCTCTCAACTTTGTGAGACCCTGTCATCTTTAATCTGTTCTGAGAAAGAACAGTGCATTTCTAAATGTTGCAATAGCAAGCTAATCTTCCTGTCTCCTTTCTGTCCACCTAACAAGATCGCTTATCCTGTAATAATCATAAATGAAGAAACAAGACAGAGTTCAATAAGGGGATTTCAGGGTCTTGTTAAGGGTTCTAGGTTTTTCAGATTTCTGTTACTTTAACCGGGAACGTATAGTCATAGTCAATATAAAGTACTGCCGCTTTCCTGGATATGAAGTTGTCATCAACTTCATTTTTGCAATTAGATGTTCCAGTCAGGGCACAATTATCTGTGAAAATACAAAAAGCAGGGGAGGGGAGGACCAGACAGACATGGGCATCACTGAACCACTGTACTGCTCTTCCCATGGATATTGAACTAGCTGAAACCTTCAGACTGATAACATATATATTGTGTTTTACTGAAGGAATATTTTTTGAATGGCTCACTTAAAGTTAGTCCAGTTTGAAAAGTTTGAATACAGCTCTAAGAACTCATCAGTTGATCTTCCCTTTTCTGCAGAAGTAGCATTTTTAATTATTTTACCAAATTTATTACTTATCTTGTTCCAGTGTACATTCTAGCGTGATTACAGTAGAACTTTCTCATGCTCTTTGTATATTGGCAACAAATTTAAGTTCATCTATTGAATAATTTAGAGGAAAAACACTAAACAATTCAGGCAGTACTTAAGTGTTATTGCTTACCTGAATGCTTTAGGTTTGAGAGACTTAAGTAACTACGATTGCATTTAAAATGTTTAAAATCTTTTTCTGGGTCACAAAGTTGTCTCTTCTGTTTTGGTTTATAGAGTTGCCATACAATGACTACTTTGAGTATTTTGGACCAGACTTCAAGCTTCATATTAGTCCTTCAAATATGACTAATCAGAATACACCAGAATATATGGAGAAGATCAAGTAAGTAGTGATTACCTGATCTATCAAGTAGGTCACATGGATCACATTTCTCCAGAGGTTTAGTTGTAAGGCAGTTTTGCAAACTGTATGCCTTTCTCATTGACACTAAAAATAAGTACTGAATAGATTTGACATATTTTTCATTTCTGTTAGAAGAGGGACTTCTTAAAAGTCTGTTCTTACAACAGTATGTATGCTTATGAAGTCCTGTGACTATAAGTATGAAAATTTAATACCCAGCTTGGATTTTTACTTTTTCCAGCAGCTATAGAGATGACTGTTTTACTTGGCTTTCCATTCTAATTTTCTAGAAAGTTTATCCCGTTAGGAAAGAAGCTGGTATGCTGTGATGATTAGGTTTTCTAATTCTCAACTCTGTGTCTAAACATGAACTGAGATTGTCATTCTTTGTAGCCGTCAGCTGTGAAAACAAAAGTCACATGTAAACTCGGACATCCAAAAATGTGGAAAGATAGTGATATGTGTGCAGGCAACTGCGTGACTGTGGTTTGACAAATCCACAAGGTTTGAGAAGTGCTCGTTGCCAAGCTATAGCGGGTATGTGATTTTTAGCCTGTGCCACTTTTGATGCTTAGTTTATTCCCTTCACATCCTGAAGGTTTGATTGTAAACAAATATTTTACTTCAGGGATGGAGTAATGCATACATAACGATCAATTCTGTACTCAACTTATAAGAGATAATTGGTTAGCCTGAAGTACTCTTTTCTTACTGTGGCTTGCCTCTCCTCTGGCTTTAAAAGAATAAACCCCCATCCGTGCCCCAAGTTTAACAGTCTGTTAACAGTGCACAGGAATTCTTTTGGTTACTAAAAATAGCTGAATAAAGATGTGAGATTAGCTGTGTAAGTTTGCCAGTACTGTTATAACCTGTAAAACTGTCAAATTGCAAAATTCACCAAAGTAGTTAAAATACCAATTTTTGAAGTGGTTGGTCTGTAGACTGTGGTTGGTGTTCATAGCACAAATACACAAATCACAATCAAGTGAAGGGGTTTTAGTTTTTAATAATGTGCAAGGGGAAAAAAAAACCCACCTATTTTTCATTGATGTAATTCTACAAAATTTCTCTGTAGTAATATAGTGCTCCAGCTGGTGATATGCCAGGCTACTTGCTGTATATTGTGTATTGCTGAGCTTTTGTGGGGCGAGTAGGCTGCAAAACTTGTTCTTTAACACATCCCTGGACACAGATTGTGTGTGCTGTCAACAGAGGCACAATCTCACATCCTCATAGTAGCACCCACAAGAAGAGCAATGACCCATCATTCCAGAGAAGCCTCCTTCAGTTAGTTGTATACTTTCCCAGAGGCTGAATTTTAGGGGACTCCCTGCATTGGCAAAACTGTTTTGCCAGGTCGCGTTATTTGAACAGAGGCAAGGACCATAAGGATTCTCAAAAAGCACCAGTTGCCGTTTAACTCTTGAAAATGGGAAGAAGGATACTGAGATAGTTGTTACAATTGCTGATATTTGATGCTTGCCACACCTTTCTCTCTACTTGGACTTCTTTGGAACCATAGTTTTAAGTCCTGGGAGAAGTCTACTGTTCCTCCTCTTCCTGCACATGGTGCTTTGCAGTGTGGGGTCCATTGCATCAGGTTGCTTAGATGGGAGAGACCTTGGCTCTGTTCTCCCTGAAACAGCCAGTAAGGAATCTTATGGATCGCTTTTGACCCTGAAGTCATTGCCACACACAGTGTGGAAGTCTAAATGCTTTAAGTATCTGGCTTTCTTTTTAAGAAACTAGAGGATAGTTTATTATCCTACTTGATACAGTATTACTCTGTTTATAATAAGCTAGAGTCACTCAGTTCAGCCCAAGTGGGCAGTACTTGTGCTGACCCTGCGGGAACTGAAGATTGAAGTTGACCAAAAGAAGTGTTTAAAAAGCTCAAAGAAAATTATGTTCAAGTACGCTGTGGATACTAATGATCTGTTAGGGATGGAAAGCTTTATGAACTTGGTGTGCCTACTTTTTTTTTTTTTTATGAAGCAATGACTCTAAAGCAAAGCAGATTAACTTTGGATGCAGACTTTTCAGAATTAAATACAAAATCCAAGGAAATACTACTGTGTAGTAATAACTTTCTTTGTTACTTGCAGGCAACGCTTATTTGAAAACTTGCGCATGTTACCTCATGCACCTGGTGTACAGATGCAGGCCATTCCTGAAGATGCTGTTCATGAAGATAGTGGAGATGAGGATGGAGAAGATCCAGACAAACGCATTTCTAGTAAGAAATATCTTTCATGAAAAAGCAAGTCCAAGTAGAGTCTTTTTAGATTTAACTGATCAGAACCTTAGTCCTAGTAGTGCGGTACTGGAAGATTGGCAGTTTTGTTTCCTGAGTGAAAAATTTTGCCACTGGTCTGCCAGTTTTGCTGTTCTTAAGGTGGCATCTGTGCACAAATCTGAACTTGTTAAAGGGGTCTAAAGAAGGGTGAAAGAATGTGGTTTTTTGCATTTTATGGAACAGTCTGGCTATTTCAAATCTAAAATAGATGCTCCAGAAGTCTCAGATGAATCATAACTAAAGGAATATAGGACTTGGCTTCTATCTTTTGCTATTCGCAAAAAAATAAATGTTCCCCACTGATGTAAAGTGAGATGCTGTGTTTTAAAAAAAAAAAAAAATTATTTGCATTTTTGTTGAGAAAGAGAGGTTTTTTCCATACTTGCAACACTGCCCTTTACTACCATTAGCCTTTGTATGGAAAACGACTTGTAGCAGGAAACCCTTAGCTATAGCTGAAGAACATTTAACCTTTTTTGATGGTGATTGGAGTAATTCTCTTATTGGTGCACTGTCCATTTTCTGAACTGTTGAAACCATAATGTTTTCTCCTGTGATTTAGTTTCCAGTATTTGAACTTCATTTGATACATGTTAAAATACTCCCACACTTCCTTTGTGTCTCTGTAAAGCTATTTTTGGAAGTCATTGTGAGAATGTCCCAGCATATCTTGAAAGATAGTATTTTTATCCATGAAAGATAGTATTTTTATCCATAATTTAGTTTATCAGTATTAAATGATTATAGTATTTTATTACTTGTTCTTAATTTGATAGTTCTTTTTTATTGGACCTATTGTAGTTGGACTTTATGCTCAGTTAATTTCATAACTCTGAATCCTAGTTCGAGCATCTGATAAGCGCATAGCCTGTGATGAAGAATTTTCAGATTCTGAAGATGAAGGGGAAGGTGGACGACGAAATGTTGCAGATCATAAGAAAGGAGCAAAGAAGGCCAGGATAGAGGAAGACAAAAAAGAGACGGAGGACAAAAAAGCAGGTAGGACTCTGGTGGGATTTCATCCTATGTTTTAGAATTGCAAATGTCAGTTCTGCCGGGAGAAAGATGCATTTTCTGCTAACAGTTAAATAGTTGTTGAGATGATGATTTATTTTTTCCATCATATTTAAAACATCTATTTTAAATTAATCAGTTTCAAGATACAGCTGTTCACACTAGAATAGTATTTTCAGCCAAGGGTGGTTGTTGCTTCCCCACAAGCTTGAAATCTTAGAGCCAGCAATTTGTATAGCTTAATGAAAATAGGGATAAAAAAGGTTCTTGCTTTAAATACGTTAAGACAAAGAGTTTGTTCCTGTTTGCTTTTGTGGGGTGAGCCAACTAGTTTTCTCTGAAACAGAAGCTGGATAAGGTTCTGGAGATAGTGTAATTCCAAGGACTCTTGACTACTCTGAGAACAGGCTACGTCTTAAGGCTGCAGGACTACCACGTGGAGCTCAGGGGAAATCCAGGTCTCGTTACTGCACGCCAGCATTATGACTGGTCAGGAGAGACTTGCCTTGAGGTATTTTGAATCACTTGGCTTTGTGCCCAGATCACTCCTGTGGATGAATGCTTTTAACACTGTATGTTCATATATAACCAGTTACTTCTTTTAAAAGCTAGTTCCCCCTGGCTAGGAGAATATACAAAAAAAACCCAAAAAACTTGGTTGTGCTTTTTTTCTTCTGAAGTCTTTTAAGGTTTTCTTGCATCTTTTGGTTTATTTAAAATGTTTTTATTTTTCAGATGTTAAGGAGGAGGATAAATCCAAGGACAGCAGTGGTGAAAAGACAGACGCCAAAGGGTAAACCTTATTTAATTAAGAATTAATGTTACCTTTTTGCAGAGTGTTTATGAATTTAAAATATTATAAAGTATTGATTTCTGTAGAGATCACTTTTAATTCCTCATAATACTAAACATTTTAGACTTGTGACAGTAGTAATTCAAAATTGCATTTCTAAAACAGTTACTCAAAAAAATTAAACAACTTAACAGTTTATTTTTGCCTTTGTACAGAGCAAAATCAGAACAGCTCAGCAATCCTTGAACAAAAGATAGCCTCTCATCAGTTGCAGACGTAATACTAGAGTTGGAGAATACCTAAAAGAAGAAAAGTTTTCGTATTGAGAGAGACTGCTGATTTCATTTTGTACTATTTGGCATGGACTGTATTTATTTTCAAACGGCTTTGTTCTGGTTTTTGGCAAGTTGTATTGTGAGTTTTCTAATTATGAGGCACAAATTCCTTTCTTCACCATGCTTTATGTAATAGTATTTAAAAATGGATGTGAGTTATTATGTTAAATGTCCAAACTGATCTATTAAAGTAATTTGCCTTTCCTGAGCTGATTTTACCTTTTTTGTAATTTTATCTTTATTAAAAAAAAAAAAAAAATTGTACTTGGTTGTCTTTGTCCATCATTGACCTACAAAGAGGAAGAACTCCGTATAAATTAAGCAGACTTAGGCTTAGCTGTGAGCAGCTACTGGATTTAAATGGACCGCTGGCGAACACATGAGTTGAACTGTGGTGCTTTCATCGACTCCACACGTTTCAGTGGCTTCTGCACAGGTGCAAGCAAATGTACTGGAACATGAGTGTGTGAGAGTTGAACAGGCTGAATAAATGGGTGAAGAGGTGTTGGAATAAGGAGGTTGTATGAATTTGCATTTTAATGTAAAGGTTTAAAACTCTGCAGTCCCGTGCCTTGTACTGTCCGAGAACCTTTCCCACCATCAGAATCTCCCCAAAAGACAGATTGATTCTGCTGTTAATGAAACTTGCATATGGTCATCTTTCAAAGCTTGCAAGATAGGAAGTGAAAGTTTGGTTTTAACTTATAACCCATTCTGATTTTTTTACAACTATGAGCAACATAAACTTGTGCCCCTTAAAAAGACAGGGGATTATTGTCTGTTGTCATCTTGGATTCATTAGTTAGTTCTGGTGCCTGAATTGAAAGAGAGACCTGAGTGCACACATTGCTTTGGTATGAAGATTTCAGAGCAATGAGCACAAAAGTCTGCAGAACTGCATTGCTACCCAGTCTTTTTTTTTTTTTTTAATAAAAACAAATCTTTTTTTTTTTTAATCTGTTCTCCTTTCCATAAAATTCTAGGATTGCAGTCCATGGCTGAAGTGATTAATTTGTGTTAAAATTCCAATATGCTACTTTGAATTTTTTTGCATGTATTCTACCCAAATGGTATATTCACTGAAGGCTCTTCTGAAGGCATGTCATATATTGACTAATTTGATTATTTTTTTCCAATGAGAATAACTTTCACTAAAACTAGGACTACTTGAATATGTGGGAAAGTAAAAGTTTTGTTAATGCCTTTTTAGAATTTTTATTTTCTCATCTTTAATCTTCCTGAATGTTTCATCTTGGATTCTTCTCTTGCATTTGAACTCTTGGGTAAACTTAGTAAGGGTTAGATCCTGAAATGTGCAGCTCTAGGGCAAAAAGGATAAAAGTTGTATTTGGGGAAGTGGTAGAAAGGCTGTAGGACTGTTCTGAGGTGGTGGGAAGGGGTCAGTGACGTCGTAACTGCACTGATGTTTGTAAAGAGTTTAGCACTCTAAATTTTGTTAAGAGAAGTTTTGACTTTATAGAACTGAAGGTAACGTGTCTATATTTGCAGTGTATATACAACTTAGTATATATATTTTTAAAGCTGTTATATACCTTGTTCACATCTATTGCAGAGTTCTTGTTCAAGAACTGATCTCTTCCAGCATTACAAGTAGATCAAGAACCAGGAGTCCAGAGGAGGGCCGCAAAGCTGATCAGAGGGCTGGAGCACCTCTCCTATGAGGACAGGCTGAGGGAGTTGGGGTTGTTCAGCCTGGAGAAGAGAAGGCTCCAGGGAGACCTCATAGCAGCCTTCCAGTACCTGAAGGGGCCTACAGGAAAGCTGGGGAGGGACTGTTTATCAGGGAGTGTAGTGACAGGACAAGGGGTAATGGGTTTAAGCTGAAGGAGGGTCGATTTAGATTAGGTGTTAGAAAGAAATTCTTCCCTGTGAGGGTGGTGAGGCACTGGAACAGGTTGCCCAGAGAGGTTGTGGAGGCCCCATCCCTGAAAGTGTTCAAGGCCAGGTTGGATGGGGCTTTGGGCAACCTGGTCTAGTGGAGGGTGTCCCTGCCCATGGCAGGGGGGTTGGAACTAGATGGTCTTTGAGGGCCCTTCCAACCCAAACCATTCTATGATTGTATGAACTTAATCTTCATTGGCTGGATTTCCCAGATACAGGTATTGAAAAGATCCAAGCTTGTGACTTTGGCTCACTTCAGCACAAAGCAGTAAGATGTAGTGACATTAATATATGAATGAAATCCTAGAATATGTGTAATTGATACTAACCCTCAACTAACTCAAGATAAGCAAAACCATTAACCTTTTTGCCTCATCTTCAATCACGTATTGAAAATGACAATGCTGCTCTTATCCTGCTGAGGATTGATGAATATCTCTTCTATTATTAAAGGGGAGTGTAACAGATAACTATGTCTGTATGTAGCCTCACTAAGACAACTTTCCTTGAATTAACTATGCAAGTTTTCTGAATGCTAAATTTTTTTACTTTCATTTTTAGTAGGGTTTTTTCCCCTCTTAAGCTGTTGTTCATACTTCTACAGCTTGTGCAGACCTATTCCGCAAGATTTCACTATCTCTAGTGCCTCGTGTAAAGTTACTTTATGCTTTGTATTGATGTCCAGAGGAGGGAAGTATTCTTCCCTTGTCTTTAAAGGCTTGATCTATATTTCAAGCATAATTTGCCTTTAGCTTTACCTATCCAAGAAAAGATTTTTGCTTATTCCAAACACTGACAGTCACCATCCACTTTTTAAAAACCTGAAAGCCAAGAATAACAATAGATAACTTAAATGTTCATGCTGGCTATCAAAGCTGAAGGGCTTTTTATTAATTTTTTTCTTGTATTTCATTTATTACTACTATCTTTGCCTTTCATGAAAGATCTTGTAAAGCATTTGATGTTGTTGTCACTTCATGAGGAGTTTGTGAATGGTTTGTTTTAGGAAGAGCTCAGGGTACTCGAGTATTTCCAAAATGCAGTGTTCAGATATTTTGCAGGCTGTTTTTTGGTGTAAACAACTATTTTCTGCTCAGGTCAGAATGATAGATGTTCCTACTGCATGAGCTGCAGTACTTGTACCAGGTCATTCTTTCAAACACTTGCTGTAGGTCTGCGTACAGACTAGAAACAGATTTTTGTATTGTTAATTTATTTGTTCAACAGCAATATGAATATGCACAGCTGTTTCTTAGCTTGGGGAGGGAGAAGGATCAGTTTCGTTGTTGTTGTTTTGGTTTTTAATTTGGATTCCTTTTTCAGTTCTGTTCCCCATGTAGTGCAATGTTTGTCTGGTCTTCCAGGGAGGACAGAAGTAACCAGAGAGGAGTAGTAGCCTTTTTAGCAGAAGAGCTAATTCAAAATGGACTTGAAGTTATGGCCAAAAGCTTGAATTTATATCACAGTTTGCATTTATGTATTTGCAAGCCCCACTGAAAATACATTTCATGTACTCCTAGGTTCCCATTCTTTCAGTAAGTACCATTTTGGGAACATGAGCTTGTGTGTGGGGAGAAAAAAAAAATTCTGAAAGGGAATTCAGAGTCCAGAATTTCTTCTGCCCAGAGCCCAGAATTGACTAGTTCTGTTCATATATATGCTAATGGTTTAAGATGGATGATGTGGCAGTCTTTAGCCAAATTTTCAGTGGGATTTAGAAATCTGTAAATGGAACGTTATTAGAAAGGTTCCGTTGTGTTATATATGGTTAATAAATGCTGCAAACACCCAGTCTCTTAAGATACTATTCAGAACATGGCAGCAGAAATAGTACATATTATCAATAGTTACCAGCTATGGGGTTGTGGTTTTTTTTTAAAAAATGTAATAATTTGTAATAATTAACTATTTGTGAGGTGAAGATATCAAAAACTGATACTAATATGTCACCATATTTGGTCATATTATAATTCACTCTAAATGATTGAAAGCTGATTTCAATAAACACAATTGTAAATGCAAATGTAAACATCTGTTCTTGGGTATGGTTGAAGCACAGGCAAGAATGATGGATTTCCAGAGGAAGGGGACTAGGTAAACTACGGCATCGCCCTTGTTCCCTCTGCTGCTCTTTCCTCCGCACCACCAAACACGTTATTTGTTCCCTGTCCCATGGCAAGAGAGTAGCTGCAATCTCTTCCCTCTCTATGGCTGCATCTTGATGTAACCAGCTCTCTTTTGGTCTTTTTTTTTTTTTCTTAATAGTTTTGCATGTGAAAATGGTTCTGTAGCTCACTAAAACTACGAATGGATGCAGCCATTTGAAAACGTTGTCTTCTAAGTGACAATTTTGCTACTTTTTTGCTAGTAAAAGAATCCTTAAAAATATTTACCATTTTTTGGCTCACTTGTGTCATTCTGTTTAGTGGTATCACCTCTGCAAGAGTACATGTAAATGGCATCGGGAAATATATGAGCTTATTTAAAAAGAATTTATATGCCAAAGTCAGCGGTAAATTTAGTGAAGTGTTCAATGCTTTTCAACCTACCTTAGAGAATACTGTATCTTTCTGAAATGGCATTCTTTGTAAATGGATGACCCGGCAAAACTAGCTATTGAAGCTGGATAGCAGCAAGCAGAAATAAAGAATAACTTCCTAGGTTAGAAACTTGTATTAATAGTCTAGGCCTAATCATTTCCATGATCGTGCTGCCAGAAGGAGGGAGGGGGGCGGGGAAAGAAAGAAAAAGAGCTGTGGGCAAGTTTTAAGTAATTCCATGTTGCAGTTGCCAAACCAGCTCCGCATGGATAATGCATATGCTGAATTGCTCTTTGTTTTTCAAATCTATTTTAAAAACTTACTTTATGTGATGCTGCTTTTAACAATATTTGATTCCATGAAATGCCCCAGAGACTTAGCTGGTGGAGGAAAAAAATCTGTATCGTTGCAGATTGTATCATGCTGGTGTATTAAGCCTAGAACAAAATTGACTCAATATTTTAAAAGTGGTTACTCTTTTTCAGGCTAGTGAGCAATTGAAGACAGACAAATCAGCATTCGGGCTTGAAGGGAAGATCAGAGTGAGCGAGAAGGGTTATGAGTCAGAAAAGCACGCTGTTGTGTGGCTGACTGAGACCCCATTCGGTCGGAAAGGTTTTTAAACACAATAGCAACATTCTTTTAAAGTTTCTACTTGGTACCTTTCTGTGGAGACTGAAATTATGAGGGAGATTTCTCACAGCTCAGGTTGGAAGAAAAAGACTTAAACAGCACGGATTTTTAAATGGAATCTTTTTCTGTGCTAGCAGTCTTCATGTTAACCTTTTCATTAGGCGAATGAAAGGGGCATGCTTCCCTGCTTGCATCACTGTGTAGGGCTTTTTGGTTGTTTTCCTTCCCTCCCTTTTTTTTCCTATTTTCTGGCAGCATTTTTTCATTCCATGGTCAGTGAGTGGTAATACTAAAGGAATCTGTGAATAGACAGTGCTGCAGATACGTATGTTACTAGTCTAAAAAATTGTGCTATGCACCTGAACATCAAAAACCTAGATGCTCCCCCACCCCCTTTTTTTTTTTTGTAAGGAAAAGAAAAAAGCCAGATATTGCTAGAATCACACTGCAGAATTTTACATGCTTCTATCTAAAGGGAAACT